AGGCCGAGGGAACTTAGAGGTAGTCTCGACCTTAACTTCAACAGGTTTAACTTGAGCATGCCCCACAATATCTCCTAAATATGTAACAAGATCACAGCAAAACTCACTCTTAACTAAAGTAATTGTCAGATTTGCATTACTGAATAATACAAAGAACTTCCGACTGGTTTCCCAGTGAAATTTTCAGTTATAATCGTGGACAATGATATCATCGATGCAAACGTCCCAACGTTTTAGACCAGATGTTATCAGCAGTGCTCAAACAATCCGATAGTATGAAGCCCGGGGTCCCATTAATTTAGGATCGGGCCCTGTCCTATATTCTAAAAGAGGTATCCGTCGGGATTGCAAAAATATAAAGTTTGAGGGAACAATGATCGCGCTGATGAAACGCGGAAATGTATTTTATATGATTTAACAAACCTGCCATAGCGCCGTGCAATCTGATTAAAGTCAGATTGCCACTATTCTGCGTGAAGTGGAGATCTGATTTTAAGCAATCTGTAACACGGCATGTGATGATAAAACACGATTTTGCAATCCCAACCCCTCCCTCCCTACACAATCTTGTTCCTAGAAAACAGTTTTCAGTAATCTTAGAAGACAAACAGCATTGTTTTCAGTATATTCAAATGCAATAATGTCTTTTTCTTCGCGAGTATAATTTGCCAGATTCCTCTTAAAATATAGAACGTGGTAATATTGTTTTGCATTTCCAATTTTGTCAATGCAGACATATATCCTTGGTATTTGAAATGAATGTCTTAGAAACACTGTTGACGTTTATATAGCCAGTACGCATACGGAATGTATTATCTGATTCCTGCAGAAGAATACACGGCGAACTCCAGTTACTTTTATTAGGTTCTATGAAATCATTCTCCAGCAGATATTGAATTTCTTTTATCAGTTTGTCCAAAAATGAGCTTAAATTGAATAAAAACATAAGAATTCTAGAACTTCTATTCCTGTATCAAACTGTATAACTGATTTATATTCTTCAGCGTTTGATGAAAACTTTCTCATGACCCTTAACTTTCAGGGTGATAGGGAGATGATATTTTTTTTTAAAAAAATATGCATGATTCCTTCATGACTTGTTGGAAATTTTCTGACATAAAATTTGACCCTTGATGGGCCTGGATACGTTAGGTAAGGCAAATCTGCTTACGAATATAACAAAAACAAAAACATTGTCAACGGATGCACTAGTTATGGCTTAAAAGGATTGGTTGTCTGACTTGGTCTTAGGCAAGGAACAGACACAGTCTAGACATATTCTGTTAAATGGTTCGTCAAATGCAGGAATGGGTTGAAGGTGAGCCTCAGGTATTTTCTTATTGAACTTTATTACCATTTGACAGATGTGACAAGATCTATAGTATTTAGAAACATCGCTTTTAATTTTTGGCCAATAATAACGATTCAAGATCTTGTGATAAGTATTAATGACTCCTAATGACCAGAAAGAGGTCGGTTCATTCGATAAACCAAAACTTTCCGCTCGATATAACATCGGAACGATAATTTGATAGATTACCGACCACTCGCCACCAGCGGGTATCTCAGGTGGTTTCCATTTTGTCTCAGGTGATCTTCATTTTCTCATAACGACCCCATTTTTCAAAAGATAACAAGCTGGGACTTGTGATGTTTCCAGTTTGATAATAGGCATCTGAAAGAAACACATGATCTTGGGATCTTGTTCGTGTTCGACTATTAGTGATTTCATTTTGTCACCTTAATTAAAATGGAGAGAACGAGTAGCAAAAGGAGGATCACTGTCATCAGTATATGTTTCTTGATCAATACCAGGAGCAAAATAACCTCATAAAAAGTGACCTATTAATTGTCACCTAAATGAATAATTACCTGATAAACATTTTTCAAGATGTATTTTTCCTATAGTTGTGGTAACTGCACAAGCAGGATATAATCATGGATACCATTCTCAACAGGGTCACTGCTTTGATCTAAACAATGTTGGTCAGTTACAAGTAGATTAACCACAACTTTTGCTCCAGCTATCCAGCTATGACGATGCCTAGTAATAAATGAAAACTTTCAATATGTAATAAAGTCAAGTTTCGACGGTCACTGGTCTAGATTCTAAGTCCGGTACCAGATTGAGGCAATGGAGACGAACATAGCAAAGTCGCACTCTACTCCTTAAATAATAGCACTTTCACTAGAAGACTTGTCAGACAAAGGCAGAGTTAGAATCTGTGAAACTCCTTCTTACTTTAATATTTTAATGGGGATTGATTTGACATAACTACCAATAAGTATCACCTTTTCACATTAATGGTTCGAAACTGTCCCTAATAAAATCAGTCCTGGGTTTGTTTAACCAAACAAATGTATTGCTTTCAATAAATGAGAATGACCTTGCCCTCTTACAAATTAGAGCATTTGGAATTGCTCTGTCTTATTCTTTTGTATATTTTTCAGCTGTAACAATCGGAAATAATGTGCCCTTTCTTCTTTCAATACGTGCAAGTATTAAGAGATGAGAAATTTTGATAAGTCTCATTAGATGTTGATTTTGTAAAGTTTTACCGGATTGAGTTTTGAAAGTACTCTTATGTGAGAATGAGATAATTATTCTTTTATTTTCACCAAATAGGTAGACACTTTGCGAGTCATAGAATACTCATCAGCTGTTCGAGGAAGATTTGCCAAAGATTGAATTGTTTGCAATCCTTGGACTCTTCAATTAGCATCAGTTAAACTGAGGTTATCGTAATATTGATCAACTTTCTTGCTACAACACAACTTATCAGATAGTCGTTATTTCCACATGCAGATTCGACATGATACATTGTATCACTACATAAAAATCAACACTTTGTTATACCGACAGTAAAATGTAGACTTCACGAGTCTTGCAAATAGTACACTTTGTAATAACAGTTCTCTCTTTGCTCTTTCAAGTTTTCAGCAATTTTTTAAGATTGATGATTATAGTTAGCCAATTCTCTGTTTTTGAAATTGGGTACTAACCTAATATTTATATTAGCATCAAAACCTGAGCATTTTGTATAAGGAGACCTGTACACCACCCGTTAGTTGTATTCATAATCAACCTTAAAGCAATATATTAAACATTTATTTTAGACCAAATTCTGAGCCAAATTATTCTTCATCTCTTTTTTGTTACAGAGTTTTCTTTTTAAAACTATCATAATATCTGTCATGCTCAAGCAAGTCGTCACTTTTGCAAACACTAATCCATTCTGAATTGGATTTAAAACAAGTTTTTCACTTGAAATGGCATTGGGAAAGTTTGTTGGTTTCACTAAAGATTTCGTCAATTTAAATGTTAAAGATATTTTTTAATATTTCTGAAATATTTTAAAAGAAATTCATATCACCGACGAGCCACTCCATCCCAATTTCTTTTTGATTCAATGTTTTAAACTAAGCAACATAAAGAAACGAAACCAATATATTTTAACATCAACAAATAAATGTATTTTTCATAGTTACAAAGTGAAAATTTAAGAGGAACGTACTTTAGAGTGAATTAAATCCCCTATAATATCAAACGTTGTATCACAAGTCCAAACGTATAGAGTGATCGAATGAATTCTAATATGATATGTGATGATTTACCAATAACCTGAACAGATTGATATACCAACAGTCTTGATGTACCACATGGCATTATTCAGGATGTCTTTAAATAAATTCGCAATGGTCCCTGGGTAGTCCTTTTAGGCAAAATATGAATGAGCACTCAGTAACTAAAATAATAATTCTTAAATGAATGATTCCTCTAAAGTTATATATGAACACAACAGTAAATAATTCCACAGAGTGAACAGGGTGAATAAAATATTGCTGTAAAAATATTCGTCATCTAAAATCATTGTAACCTGAAAAAAAAAACAACAAAACAATGCAAAAGCAAAGAGCAAAAGACAATCCTTCTTGATTTGTATATTAAAATGTCGCCATAAATTGTTACACATTTCCAAATCTTTGAATCCTTTAAATCTTTCATACGCGCACACACCATTCGTAATGTTGCTTTGCTGGACTGGGTATGACTGTTCCTATCGCTTTAGTAATGACTTGCATTTAGTAGACAACCCCCCCCAAAACAACAACTTAAAAATATTATTCTTTTTGATTATACTGTATCATGTTATTAGATAAATCATAATAACATTATCTGGCTAAATTGAACTGTGCAGCACCGTGGAATGTTTTCTTCTGGATCTTGCTCTCTCATTTACGTTTAATGTATCAGCGTTTATTATAATACATGCATATATTTTATGAGTTGCAAACAAATGACAAGTTGTCTATATGCATACATTTAGTAGCTTTTGTCAACTTCAAAATAAACCCAATCTTCCTCACGGTAGACATGACTTTAATTTTCACTGCCAGAAAAATTGATTTAAAAAATGTATTCATTTTTATCATAGTTTTACCAATTTTTAAGACTTATATCCTTGCAAGAGACATCCCAGATATCGGTGGACATCCATTCATGTAACGACGTATTTTATGTTATTTGTTTCTGATGAAAACGCGCACCTTAATGGCGCAAAGTGTGAAGACTGCAAGAGTGGAGAAGGGAAATGGACTTCGGACAAAATTTTTTGACTCCGAGCGCTATGTGTAGCATTAGATTTATGCTCATGTGTTCTGGTTCCCTGCACAACACAAACCATATCTCCGCTTCGAAAGTCTTTCGTAACGAGAGAAAGGAAGTGAAGTTCCACATAGTACCAGACCACATAGAACGGCACCATTAAAAGTAAACAGATTCGTTTGCTTTCGTTTGCAATCTGTGCTTGCAAGAATCTATTTAAATGAAACTATATATTTCACATTCACATTCCTTCATGTGAATAAAAACAAACATGCTTTGTGAGGGAAATAAAACAAATTAATAGATTCGAACCGAAGGCAGTATCATCAGGCCTGATGTAAATAAAATTAAGTGCGCAAAACAGATAAAAACTTTAAGCTATAAGTGTACACATCGCTCCGGTGGCCTAGTGGTTAGAGCGTCCGCTTTGGAAGCGGGAAGTCGCGGGTTCGATTCGATCCCCGGCTGAGTTATACCAAAGACACAAAAATGGTACTAACAGCTGTCTCGCTTGGCTCTCAGCATTAAGAGGTTAGAGTTAGGACTGGTCGGCCTGGTGTCAGGATAATTGACTGGGTGGGACATCATGCTACATGTCTGCGACATGATGCCCCAGTGGTAGACATCACTCTAAGCTGCCACAAATGCAGACATAGTATCGATATGACTGAAAAATTGTTAAAGCTACGTTAAACATCCAAATCATATCCACAACTCGAAATGTACATGGTGTCCAAATGAGTCTCATTCTTAAGAAACATTTAGCAAGCTGTATGATTATTGATTTTCGCAGAAGCTTTCGTGATTTGTTTCGATCTCATTAGTTATGTTTTGGATCTTCTAAGTTCTGTTCATTTTGTTTGCAAATCCGTCTATGAAGTTACAATCGGCATATTTGTTCATTTCATCCTAAACTTGGGCTACCATACTAGAACTTTGAAAACAGAGGACACTTCAGGAGTGGGTGAATCTCTATCAGTAACTGTAAGGACGAAAAAGGAGGACATGTTTGGGAAAATGAGGACGTATAGAAAACCTACATAAACTAATGACAACAATTCAACATCACCACCAGTTGGTTTTACTACCTACCGATTTGGTTTCATGTTTAAGCACACAGTGGTGGCGTTAGACTTTATGGCATGAGGATGCGGTTTCGATTCCGACTGACTAAACATCCCGGGTCGATTGCCTTAGTGTTTCGTGGGCAACACACGCTATTTCAGTTATCCAGTTATATATATCCAGAGGCAACTGAAGTAAAATGCGTTCATATATATGAAAATGTTGAAATGTTGAAACAAATCCCGGATCATCCTGTCATATACTTTGATTCAGACACATTGCGACCGCATTGTCTGGATAACAGGATATCTGCAACAAAATTAACAATATTTACCTTCTCCATCCACCACGCTGAGGTATTAATAAAGATTAAGGGGAGTGGGCTTTCTTCTAAGAGCGCAAGCCTTTGCAATAAAATCGACCTTTTAGTGTTCCATTATTCAGATAATCACACCCGATAGCATATTTGTACAGGTGGATAGCTTCTGCTGTAATAAATATCAGGACTTAGAAAAATATTCCACTATTTGTTGTGTGGCTTAACGCCATTTTTCAACACACGATAATACATGGCATTATACATTAATACATGGCAGTCAGTATTAATGGTGGAGGAAGAAACCGGAAAATTACCGGAAAGAACCACCGACCCACGAGAAGCCACTGGCAAGATTTCTCACGTATCCTCATTCGTCGAATCCTAGACTCGAACCCAATGCAAACAGAGGTGAGATGGCAGTGATCCGTAACGGACTGCGCTTTAGACCACTCGGCCACTCGGGGCCCCCTACTTGACTTATAACCTTCATGTCCAGAACTCGCATTATGCATTTGAATATATAAGCCGAACGATGTTGAAACAATCGGAGCAGTCTGATTTCAAACTAAAAAGACGCAACGCTTTTGAATATCGATTTTGAATGTCTGACATCAATGTTAAAAGACTCAGTGCTTTTAGAAAATTGATTCTTAACGTCTGACTTCCATGTAAAATTACGCAGACCTTTAGAACATTGATTCTGAACGTGTGACTTAAATGTATAATAACATAATGATTTAAGACAGTGAATTCCAAATAATACCAACATACATCTTATCTTCAGTCATTCATTCTGGCATAATAACACATGCGTGTATATGCTACTGTATAGAACGTTATGTCAAACAATGAAAACCGTAGTTGATCGTGTAACTTGTTTTAGAGATCTTTATTTACCGAGAAAATATACATGGAATTTATATATGCCTTTAAATTGAATACGTGAAGGGATGTTCATGAATTTTGAGGGATGAAATGATGCACCGCGTTTCAAATCGATTTCGTTAGTAGTAGCTTTCCAATGTGCGCTTTTCTTCTCATAGAGGGGCTGGGTGATGTTAAGGTATTCGCATTTAGAGTTTTCTAGTGTGGGTCTGACACTTTAAAGCTAAACATATAGTAAAGCATACCCTGTGAATTCCTTGTCGGGTAATTCAACGTCGAATGGTATTTTCACTTGAAATGCAGTGTCATAGGTGAAGAAAGAAAAGAAACGAAAGACGTTATATCGGTGCAAACTAAAGTTACTAATGTATTATGTTAATAGTACTTTACACTCCATCAATGCTCAGAGCGAAGTTTACTGTGACACTGCGACACTTGGGTTTTGTTGTTCTATAACCATTAGACTGAAGATGACATGGAATGAGTTTAAATTTCTCTCTGCAATTACTCAGTGTTTGCTGCTGCTGAGATGACGACGATGATGATGAAGTAGGGCATTGAAGGGTTCAAATAAGTTAAGGTTTAGTTGGAAATTATCGATCTCATACTATTTTGCACTCTTAATCTTTGTGTTATCGAAGATAATAGAATATCTAAAATCAATTGTATAATTGTATTTTAATTAGACGAGTTTTACTGATATTAAATGAACTTCATTCCTCGTTTTTCAGCTATCTGAAACATAAAAATGAAAATATACTGTTCGCTTCTTGGTTGAATAGGACAGCTTGAAAAATAAAAATCAATCTGCATAATTCATTAAATACATTTCCATCAAAATGAAAATTGGCATGAATACCAAACAGCATTAAAATGAGTCGAAGTTAACGGAAGTATGGAGCCAAGAACCATCATTACAACGTCTTCGGCACCGACTCTATGAAAGTAGTGAAACGGAATATATGTAGTCTTCATAAAAGAGAACGTGTAATTTTAAATCCCAATTCCAGTTCTTTTCATGTGAGAGTTTTTGGAGGTCATCGGAAGTAAACTCTCTTCAGCTGAACAATTCCATCACGCAACAATAGATGCGAAAAATACGTTGAAAGTGATACAAGTAAAACGAAACTAACAAAACAAATCACACACACAAAAGAAAACAATGGTTTGAGAATCAGATTGACGTTTGCAAAGGGTCTGCGTTGACAATTAACTGAAATTGACGCTTGAGACGAGGGCAAGTTTCCGCTTAACACAAATCTAATAATTAACACCGAATTGCTGTCACGCTGTGAAAAGAACCCTAAGTTGGTATTTTAAGTACTTTTATGTGACAACAACGCACATATATACAGGAATATACTATTTTGGTATAGTCTTTTCTGTGTCAAATACTTAAGATTTGTCTTAAAAAACTGAACATACCAGGAGATTGGTGGATTATACTCGATCAAGTAAAGAAAACATAACATTGGGTACAAAATTAATTTGGCTCCAATTTAGAATTAACCACAATATACTGACCACAAAATATTATCTATTTAAAATAGGTCTGTATATGATAATGCGTGTTACTTCTGTAATAGCGAGGAAGTAGAGATGGGGCGTTTTTTGTATAAATGCTCTCTGGTAAAACAATGTTTTTTTTTCAGGTTCCAAATTTGTCGAATATTCGGATTGGATATACTTTTTAAATTTAAACGATTCTTGTCAGTCAAACTTTGTAAATTTCGTTTTGTTACCAGCAAACTATAGGTCAAACGTTTGAAGAAAACAAATCAGTGTTTACAAAAACTTTGATTTGGTGTGATGTTTCAGTACAAATATAATGTTGATAAGTCTCATTATAGTGATTTATTAATATGAAATAGCATTAATATGGGACTGAAATAATTTACTTGATGTAACAGCAACCAACCGAGAGAGAGAGAGAGAGAGAGAGAGAGAGAGAGAGAGAGAGAGAGAGAGAGAGAGAGAGAGAGAGAGAGAGAGAGAGAGAGAGAGAGAGAGAGAGAGAGAGAGAGAGAGAGAGAGAGAGAGAGAGAGAGAGAGAGAGAGAGAGATCAACATGGAGCAGATCGAGCATTAACATGGAAATTTGAGAAAACCATTCAACCCATTCTCTCTCTCTCTCTCTCTCTCTCTCTCTCTCTCTCTCTCTCTCTCTCTCTCTCTCTCTCTCTCTCTCTCTCTCTCTCTCTCTCTCTCTCTCGGTCTAAGTTACATGTGGGTGGAAGCATAGAATACACAAACTCGACATATTTTGCTAGATCATAGTGTGGGTGAGGATTCACGTGATAGGGGTGGCGTGTCATGCGTGTAAAACAATAACTTTATCTTTTTGTCCCCAATATATTCACTTATATACTTGTTGACGTACACGATCATACATATTAAATTATTGATGGTGGTATAGAGTCTTATTAAGATTATGATTTATGTTTTTTTTTTTTACGTAGCTTTAACAAGTTTTCAGTCATATCGCTACGATATGTGTAGTGTGGCAGTTTATAGAGATGTCTAGCACTGAGGCATCATGCCGCAGACAGGTAGATCGATGTCCCACCCAGTCACATTATCATGACACCGGGCTGACCAGTCCTAACACTAGCATCTTAATTTTGAACGTCAAGCGAGGCAGCTGTTAGTACCATTTTTAAAAGTCTTTGGTATGCCTCGACCGGTGATCGAACCCACGACCTCCCGCATCCGAGACGGATGCTCTAGCGACTAGTACACCAGAGCTGTTAAATTATTAATAAAGTGTTTCTCTGTTTTGAAGATCTACAACACCATGTTCCTGGCTGAGTAATCACTGTAAAAGACCACACCAGCACCACACACCAACATTCCAATTCATATGAATACATTTTAACTAAGTCTGCTTTTCGGTCTTCTGTTTAATTTTTTTCTTAATATTTCTAATTTGTAACGTCAGGCTAGATTGTTATGTGTGTGTGTGTGTGTGTGTGTGTGTGTGTGTGTGTGTGTGTGTGTGTGTGTGTAAGTTCGAGGTAAATCAGTTTGCCAGGTACGCTGCGTATCGCTGTGACAAACTTTGATTAGTCTCCTATAAATTTCGTCGATTCAAGGTTGACACAACTCTTCCAAAATCAATGACTGAAAATACTCGAGTACTCAAACCAAGATTCTGACGCTATATTTGTCTAACATCCAAGCTTATTACAATCACGCGGCGGAATT